CTTTTCAGCTCAGGTCACGATCTCAGGGCGGTGAGATCAAGCCCCATGTTGGGCTTCGTGCTTAGTAGGGAGTCTGTTTGAGATTCTCTCTCCCTCTGCCTCTCCCCCACCCCAATCCATACCCCCACCCCACTCCCTTGCACGTGCACACGCACACACACACACTCTGTCTCATAAATAAATCTTAAAAAAAAAAAGAAAGATTAAGTAAAAAACATAAGTTAAATACCCTTCCAGCCTTTCCCCTTACTTGGCAGCTTTGCTTACATTATATTCTTTTTTTTAAAAAAAGATTTTATTTATTTATTCATGAGAGACCCAGAGAGAGAAAGAGCAGAGACACAGGCAGAGGGAGAAGCAGGCTCCTCATAGGGAGCCTGATGTGGGACTCGATCCCAGACCCTGGGATCACGACCAAGGCATGTATGGTCACATGTGAGCCAAAGGCAGACACTTAACTGTTGAGCCACCCAGATGTCCCTGCTTGCATTACATCCTTGATATGGGTAGAATATGGTGAACCCAACAGAAAAATACCACAAGAGGTACTGGCTAACCCAAATAACCCAGCCAGATAATTCCTAGTGAGACTCAGAGTTGGTAAGGCTCACATATGTACATAAAGCTTTCAATTAGCTTTTTAGAGATCATTCTGAAGTATGTGCAGCTGCTAAAGGCTCTAAGACATCTGATGAGACCCTCTAACTATATAGACATAAATAAAAAGAAAAAACACCTTGAATGAAATGGAGATAATACTGGGAGATGAGAACTTATAAAAATCATTTATTATGTCCCTAAAAAGATAAGAGATAATATTGCAGCCACAGCAGAAAGCTATAAAAAGTAAAACATTCAGGGGTCCCTTGGTGGCTCTGCATCAAGCATCTGACTCTTAATTCCAGCTCGGATCATGATCTTGGGGTCATAGGATTGAGCCCTGAGTGGAATCTGCTGGGGATTCTCTCTCTCCCTCTGCTTCTCCCCTGCTGCTTGCTCAAGTGTGTACTTTCTCTCAAATCTTCAGAAAAAAAATAAAAAAACAAAAACTTTCAGAGAACTAGAATAACTCATAGAGAAATAAAAACATGACAGGAAAATATGAAAAACTTAATAGAAGGACTGATAATGTTGAAATATTTCATAAACTAGAACAAATATAGAAAAGATGGAAGAGGGAAAAAAAGGATCCATCCAGGACACCCTCTATTCAAATAATAGAATTTCCAGAAAAAAACAGAAAAATAGTGGAGGAGAAATAATCATCAAAGAAATAAAGAAAATATCCCTGAACTGAAGGACATAAGCCTCCAGTTTTGGGGTTTTAAAAATATTTTATAAAAAAAGAATAAATAAAATAAAAAATGAAATAAAAAATATTTTATTTATTTATTCATGAGAGACAGAGAGAGAGAAAGAGGTGGAGTCATACGCCAAGGGAGAAGCAGGCTCCCTGCAGGGAGCCTGATACCAGACTCAATCTGGGGACCCTGGGATCACGCCTTGAGCCAAAGGCAGACTCTCAACCACTGAGCCACCCAGGTGTCCCAAGTCTCCAGTTTAAAAGAGCCCAACAAGGGGTGCTTGGATGCCTCAGTCAGTTGAACATCTAGCTCTTAGTTTCAGCTCAAGTAAGGATCTCCAAGTGGATTACCGCCTCCCCTACTCCAATGGCAGGCTCCATGCTCAGCAGGGAGTCCGCTTGCCCTCTCCCTCTCCATCTGCCCCTCTTCGCTCTCCCTCTCTGAAATAAATAAATCTTTAAAAAAAAATAAAAGGGTCCAACGAGTGGCCAGTTCAATGGATGAAAATAGACACCCCATGGCAAATTATTGGGATAGTTTAGAACACTGAGACCAAAGAGAAAATTCTAAAAACTTCCAGAAAGAATAGGAAGATGGTCACATACAAATGATCAGGAATCCTAATGACATCAGCCTTTTCAAGTGTAACACTGAAAATTAAAAGACAATGGAACAATGTCTTGAGTCCAGAAGAAAAATTATTTTCAGCCTAGAATTCTATATGTGTCACACTGTCAACAGTGTGAGGGGAGAAGAGCATTTTAAGACAGGTGAAGCTTCAACAAATGTAGCTCCTGTGTAGACTTTCTCAGGAAGCTACTGGAGGACCCGGAGGAAAAGCACCAGAGATAATGAAGATGTAAATCAAGAAAGAAGAAGACATGGGATCCAGGAAACCAGGCTCCGACCCGGGAAAAGAAGCAGAGAATCCCTAGGATGACGGTGAAGGAGGATCCCTGGAGGACAGTTGTGCAGGAGGCTCAGATTGGAGCAGATCAAAAGGCTCCTGAAGAGCTCCCTCTAAGAACACAAAATAAGTAGAATATGTGATTTGTTTAAATGCCTTGAGGGGAAGGGGCACCTGGGTGGTGGCTCAGTGTCTGCCTTTGGCTCCGGGCATGATCCCAGGATCCTGGGATGGAGTCCCGCATCAGGATCCCAGCGGGGAGCCTGCTTCTCCCTCTGCCTGTGTCTCTGCCTCTCTCTGTGTGTCTCTTGTGAATATGTAAATAAAATACTAAAAAAAAAATGCCTTGAGAGGAAAACTCAGACATTTGGGAGGGGGTTTTGTGATAACTTACTGATCACTATGTAGCAAACTAAGCAATAGAGGAGTAGTAGTATAGTGTAGTAGTAATATAGTCTGATAATAATGAATAATTATATAAGGTTTGATATATATCTATTGTTATTCTAAGGTATAATTTTTTTAAGATTTTATTTATTTATTCATGAGAGAGACAGAGGCAGAGACACAGGCAGAGGGAGAAGCAGGCTCCATGCAGGGAGCCCGATGCTGGACTCGATCCCAGGACCCCAGGATCACACCCTGGGCGGAAGACAGGCGCTTAATCGCTGAGCCACCCAGGGATCCCTAAGGTATAATTCTAAACATGAAGTAAGAAATGAAAAGTAAGCATAGTAAACTATACAACTTAGCTATGAATAGCGTTTCCAAATCCTTATAAGGTAATCACCGAATAACTCATTTTATTGCATATGTTGGGGATACAGAGAAATGGGAAAGGTGTCTGTGTGGCAGAGGAATGGGTAGTAGGATGAAAGTTAAATCCTTAACCTTCCATCATGTGGGAAGTCAACAGAAAGCACCTACAACTTAAAAGTCAATGAGTAGGGACGCCTGGGTGGTTCAGTGGTTGAGCATCTCTCTTCCGCTCAGGGAGTGATCCCGTTGTCCTGGAATTGAGTCCCGCATCCGCTCCCCAAAAGGAGCCTGCTTCTCCCTCTGCCTATGTCTCTGCCTCTCTCATGAATAAATAAATACAATCTTAAAAAAAAAGTCAATGAGTAGCATGTTATTTGGATATTCGAAGATAAGCACCAAAATAAACACCTAAAAAAAATGGATACTAGTTGTCTGTGGGAAGTGAGATTTAGGGTTAGGATGGGAGCCTATTACTTTCAAGATAACTGCCTCTTTATGTGCATCCATTACATTGATTAAAAGGAAAACTAGAGACGCCTGGATGGCTCAGCAGTTGAGCACCTGCCTTCGGCCCAGGACGTGATCCTGGAGTCCCAGGATCGAGTCCCACATTGGGCTCCCTGCATGGAGCCTGCTTCTCTCTCTGCCTATGTCTCTGCATCTCTCTCTCTGTGTCTCTCATGCATAAATAAAATCTTTTTTTTTAAATTTTTTTTAAATTTATTTATGATAGTCACACACAGGGAGAGAGAGAGAGAGGTAGAGACATAGGCAGAGGGAGAAGCAGGCTCCATGCACTGGGAGCCCGATGTGGGATTCGATCCCAGGTCTCCAGGATCGCGCCCTGGGCCAAAGGCAGGCGCCAAACCGCTGCGCCACCCAGGTATCCCAAATAAAATCTTAAAAAAAAAAAAAGGAAAACTAAATAAAACAAAATCAGAAAGTCACGTGTGACAAGACCTGGGGCTCCCAGGGAAATATACCTAAGGAATAGCTGAGAGAAGGGCCAGGGCTATATTTTGACAGCTTTTGGGTGTCGACAGATTTTATTCTCTAATTGCAGCACAAAGCTCAGAAAGGCTCTTGAGAAGGGGAGGGGCAGATCCAGACTTGTGTTTGGGGAAAATAATTTCTGGCACCTGAGCTGGGAGGGACCCTGGAGATGACCCAATAAGTCATCCTTACTCCCAGTATAGACAGAGAGACAGGTGTGTGGTGAAGACAAGCCCTGAATCCCCAGCCAATAGGATTCTGACCCTTTGAACAACAGCTGCCAACACCCTGAAGGGTCTGGGGGACCAGGTTAGCTTCCTCTTTCTTCCATAGCTCTTGCCTCCCTTTGGCCCAGTCCACTTCCTAATCAGCACCAGGCAACTCAGCCTATTAGGCTGTTCTTTGAATGTGGACTGTTTCAGTAGTTAATACCCTATCTATGAAGTTCAAAGCTCAGTAGGATCAGATTTCAATACTAAACATTTACTGAGACCTTACTCTGTGTCAAGCCCGATGTTGTGTACTTAATAAACAGCATCTCAGACTTCTTGCGGCCATCCTGTAGATGAGTGAGTTAGCCCTGTTTTACAAACAAGGAAACCAAGGCTCAGAGAATGTAAGAAAGTTGTCCACAATCATATAGCTAATCAGTGGTAGAACTGAGATTCTTTTTAAAGATTTTATTTCATTCTTTTAATTTATTTATTTGAGAAAGAGAGCACAAGCAGGGGGAGCAGCAGAGGGAGAGGGAGAAGCAGACTCCGCGGGGCTTGATCCCAGGACCCCGAGATCATGGCCTTCACCTCGGGTCTTGATCGATCTTAACCGATTGAGCCACCCAGGCGCCCCCAGAACTGAGATATTTAACAACAATCTGTCTGCTTCTAAAACCCACACTCTAAAACCCACCATGCTTCTATTCCCAGGCTTCTTGAAATTGAGGCGTGGTTGGCTGAGCTACAAAATGGGGCCTCTGGAAAGATTTGGGAAACCCATGTCTCAGAACCTTGGACTAATTCCTTCTCCCACTCCCCCAGGCTTACCTGCGAGCCATTGATGTGAAGATCCTGCAGCAGCTGTTGACCTTGAATGAGGGCATCGAGGCTGTGCGCTGGCTGTTGGAGGAGAGGGGGACACTGACCAGCCACTGCAGCAGCCTCACCAGCAGCCAGTATAGCCTGACAGGCGGGAGCCCAGGCCACTCAAGGCGAGGCAGCTGGGACAGCCTGCCAGACACTAGCTCCATGGACCGGCTGGACAGTCTCTCCATTGGCAGCTTCCTAGACACGGTGGCCCCCAGCGAGCTGGATGAACAGGGCCCCCCTGGTGCTCCCCGCCCTGAGACGGACTGGGCAAAAGTTATACCCAGTGGGGACAGGGCCAGGACTGAGGTGGACCCGACAGCCAGCAGACTAGGGAGCTTGAGGGCTGTATGGAAGCCCCCAGGGGAGGGGCTCCATGGTGGACCTCCTGAGCCCCTAGAGGATGAAGGTGCCAAACTGGGCTTTGAGGCCCACTGGTACTGGGGGCAGTGCCAGGATGACGTGACCTTCTTATAATAACTTTCCCACCCTTTTGTATTCCTGTGGCTCTTTCATCGCTAGGCCCTGGTCTCCCTAGAAGTTTATTCTCCCTCATTCTGGGGCTAGGAAGAGGCTACATTGAAATCAGTTACCATGGAAACTGGTCTTACCATCCTTTTGGTCCCTGAGGAGGCTGTCCTTTATCCCTCCATTATTGGGACCCTAGAGCTATTTCCACAGATACATTGACTCTAGAGGCTTGGCCCATGGCTCCTGGTGTGATAGTATCTCTTCCCCGTGCCCCTGCAACTAGGTCAGGATTTGAGGGATTTAGGAACCCTAGGAGATCACTGAAGAAGAGATGGGGGTGCAATGACTTCACCCAACATCTTGGAGCCTTGGCCCCCCCCTTGGCCAAGATGGAGATTGTGGAGGGACATGGACATTCAGGGCCAACCCTCCATGGATTGGCCCTCCCAGAAGCCTTTGGGGTTGCTAGAACCACCCCTTCCTGTCTGGTGAGTGATGTCACTTCCTGCCAAGATGGGTTAGCCTCTCCCTGGTATGGGTCCTTAGGGGTCAGTATGCAGGTGGCTGAGCCCCTGCTGCTAAGTGAGACCATACCATTTATTCTCTATACCATTATTTCTTGCAAGTGGGGACATTCCCCCCTCCTGGGAGGAAAGCTGCTCACTGCCAGGGATTTGTGCTTCTTTTCAGAAAGATTCTTACTTTTTAAATGGAATGTTCTCATTTTAGTCCAGAGGGTCTCACTTCCTCTGTGGCCACATTCCTGTCTGATGCCAGCAGTCCTATATCTGTGCGTTTAGGAAGGGAAATGCCGGGGCCTCTACCCACAGCTCTCACAAGTTTGTATGGCCTGCCCTATTTGGTCCCCTGTCTTACCCTGTCCCTGGCTTGCCCCCCTTCTTGTATTCTGGCTCCAAATCTGTCTGCCAGGAGGTTCAGCTTTTGTGTCTCCACACCTTCTCGGTTTCCACTTCCACTTCGGGGCCTCAAGCCTTTTATATGCAGATGAGTTTCCCCATTTCTCCAACCCCCCCCAAACACCTTCTTTCCCCATTGCTGATGGAAATCTGAGGGAGGAGAAGCTTGACGTCTCTGGGCTCTGGGGGGGGGTGTGTATCATAATTTCCAAAGTGGGGAGGTGTCTTCTCTGATCCCATGATTTCCCTTCCCCCATCCTGCCCGGGACCTTCCAGCATAGGGTCACAAGGATGCCTGCCAGAGGCTGAGACACAAGAACTCCCCTTGTCTGGGTTACAATGGATGGTGGGGTGTGGGGTGTGGCAGGGAAAGACAGAGGCCCTTTGGTCCTAGGGCCCACATCCTGGGAGGGGGAGAGATGGTGAGGGGAGGGAAGCCTGCTTTCCTTCCTCCCTTAGAGCAAGCCCTAGATGCCTGGGACCTGAGGAGAGGGCAGGAGACGGGTTCTGGGCCTGGGTCCTAGGACCCTAGGGAATTACAACGAAGAAAGAATTCACAGAAGCTGCCAACCTGGGGCCCAAGGAGGGGACAGATTGGGCGGCAGGGACAGCGGTGGTGAGGGCAGGGGCTGTGACTGATGTCAGAGAATGAATTCTTGGCAATTAACCCTTGGAACCCCAGCTAACTGCCCCTATTTTGGTCCTTGTCTTTCCTGGGGCCTGAGACTAATTATAGGAAGGCAAAAAAGAGAAAAGGATGTCAGGTGATCCTTACCTAGTTGTTGTGCCGTCTTGTGTGGAGGTGTCTTCCTCCAATCCTAAAATAACTCCTGCAGTTTCTTTACTTTTCTTTCTCTGCTGGGGAAGGGAAGGAAGCCAAGTTCATCTCCACTTCCCCTAAATTCCTCAGGTTTTGTTCTGCAAGCACTGCGCCGGTCGTTTGGCGGCAATACATTCAGTCTGTAGCTCTCCCCTAAAGACTCTCCTATCTCCTCAAGGTGATGGAACTCTCTAAAGCATATTCTTAGCCCCTCCTCCTTTGCCACCTGCCAGCCCTCTCTCTGCCACTTCTCCTGGACTTGGGGCACCTGCCGCCCCCTCAGGCTGGGAATTCAGATACCCCTTTCCAGTGCCTACTCTGTTGCCATTTTGTAATGTACTCTTGGGTAAACTACCTTTTCATTTCAAAGCCTTGTATTCCTTTTTGAAGTGCAGTGTACTCCTTTGGGTAGGCTACACACTTCTGAACTGGAGGTTGCGCACCCTCTTGTGGCCGTTATGTACCATTGCCGGGGTAACTGCACAGAAGCCCTAAGTTCAAGGAGACAGAAGACCAGCCCCTTTGTGCACAGACAGGTAGAGAGACAGGCCTGAAGAGGGCCGAGACTTGTCCAGTGTCACCATTGTAGACCTACACCATTGCTGGGTTAGAGAGCCCCTTGCCTGTCTGCCCACAGTGCCATCACTTGGCCAGACTATTGGTTCCCTCACTCCACCCAGTTGACATCACCCAAGCCGAAATAACAGAAAGAAATTTCTCCAGTTTAATATTTGGGTTCTTAACCCCACTCTAGAGAGGCAGCTCAGTGTTTGGAGAAAGAGCTATAGGCTCTGAGGAAGGAGAACCTTGGACCTGGATTGGGTAGAGGGCTCATGAATCTGGACTGCAGATATAAGAAAAATCATCCTGGACCAACTGTTTTTCCAGGGAAGCTCAGCATTTCAGACCTGGAGGTTAGAAGTGGGGTGGGGGTGGGGAGATTTGGGATGAGGAAATCCAGATGGGTCCTGTGGAGTGGGCGAGGAGCTCCCCAGGTCAAGGGAGTACAGCTGGGTAGGCACATTTGGGTAAAGGCCAAGATGAGACTGCTAATGGCTGCTGCAGAAACAAAGCCCAGGAGGGGAAAGCGGGGTGCTGACAGAATGAGTCCATGAAGGAGATACAAGGCAAGTGTAAGAGCCCACATTTAGGATGGGATGGTAAAGTTAACACTGGGCCGACTGGAAGCTCAGTGGCAGCCTAGGGGAGAAGGGCTCGGGGCTTGTAGCAGACAAGCTCACTGTGCATGGTGCCAGGGGCTACTGGGTGTTCAGTGACGCCTGATGATTGAATGAAAGAATGAATGTGTGTAAACCCACCAGGAGATGTGACCTATTTTCTTAAAAAGTGGGTAATTATATAGTAGGAGGTAATTTAAAACCTTAATCTATTTAATTCAAAGCAACCCTATAACTAACGCATTCCTAACAATGTACGGTTGCTTAGACGTTTGCTCAAGGTCAGAGAGGTAAGAAATCAGCTATGATATGAACCTGAGTCAGCCGATTGCTTGGGCGCCCAGGAAGCCTTCCCTGATTCTTCACTTGTCACTGTCACAGACATTACTCTTCTAGGAGGACAGGTTATGCTGCCCAGTGGCAGGGCCAGTGTACTAGCTCCCTACCACCGCTGTAATGAATGAGCACAACTTAGAGGCTTAAAACAACACAAATTTAATATATTACAGTTCTGGAGGTCAGAAGTCTGAAGTCGGTTTCACTGGGCTGAAGTAAAGTCAAGGTGTTGACTTATCTGCATTCCTCCTGGAGACTCTAGAAGAGAATCCATTTCTTTGACTTTTCTGGCTTCTAGAGCCTGCTTGCATTCCTTGGTTTATGGCCCCTTCCTCCGTCTTCAAGGCAGTAGAATGGCATCTTCTCTCCTCTCTGACCTCTGCTTTCATTTCTTCTAATTCTATTTTCTCTTATGAGGATTATGTTGTGATTACATACGCTTGGGAGTATATTAGGCCCACTGGGAAGATCTAGGATCATCTCCCCATGTCAAGATCCTTACTTAACCTTATCTTCAAAGTCCCCTTTGTCATAAAAGGTAAGATATTCACAGGCTTTGAGGATTAGAACATGAACATCTTTGGTGGAAGGGCCATTATACAGCCTACCAAAAGCAGAGATGGAGGGTGGGTAGATGGATGCACCCAGCATCCATCTTGTGTTTTGTCCAGATTCCCTAAGCTTGAAGAGAAGGGTGGCAGGAAGATGGGTGGCCAAGGGGAAGGTGGCCAGGTCCAGGCCCCATGTCTGGAAAGTGTGCAATGTGCCTCTTACATCAGCACTACCAGGAAGAGCTGAGACGGAAGGGAGAAATTCTCAGTTTAGGGAATATTGAGGCTTGACACTTTCCTAATGAGCATGGTAGTGGATTCCAGCAGGCTCTGTCTTCAACACTGCCTCCTCTAAAACCATTCTGTGCTCCTCAAGGTAGAAGATAATTGCCAAGCAAAACTAGTCTGGGCTCTCTCTGAAAAGGGTAGATTCATTGTCACCTTTTTAAATCCTTATGTTTTATTCCTTAATAAGTTAAACCATGCCTCTCAGAACATGGTGAACTCTCATCCTCAGTTAATAACTAGGGCCTTTATTGCTTTATTTTCTTCTTTTGATCCCTGCCTATTCTTATTCCTCTCCCTGACCTAGGCACACCCTCTAATGTTTTAGTATGTGTTTGCATATATTTGTATGGTTAAAAAAAGATGTAATTGTGTGCTTATGTGTTTTAATATATATAAATGGTATTCTTTACTACTATAAGCTAACTTCCACAATGAATTGCCCCGTATTTCAGCGATTTAACACAGTAAAGATTTATTTTTCACTTAAGCACAGGTGTTCCTGCCTAGACAGCTCTCTTCCACTGTCCATTTCAGGTCCCAGGCTCCTTCCATTTTTCAAGTGGTGATAGCCTGATTCTGCATCATAAAGTTCCTGTCAACTTTTTCCAAATTGTTTTAATATCCATTAACGTCTGTTTCATAAATTGGCTATTTCACAAGATATTACAAAATGATGACTTTTATTAGTTCTAATTCTATACAGAAAATCTTTTTCACATCCTCTAGACCATTTGGTTACCCTAAAATAAAGTTTATACCAGAATAGCAAGATGAATGCTTAAATCTCTTACCACACTTATCCCTTTTAAACTAGTAAACTGATGCCGTAGCAACTTGGTGTTCAATTATTTTGTTTTGTTTTACTCTCTCTTTAAATTATTGTGAATTTGTAGTTTTTAATATATTTAATGTCTTTTAATCACTTGTGGTTATTTTGTTTTATATCATACAAAATTTCAAGAATATACAAAAAAAAAGAATATACAAAAATAGAGAAAACAGTACAGTTGACCCTTGAACGATGGCATAGGTTAGGGGCACTGACCCCTTGCCCAGCTGAAAATCCGCATGTAACTTGACTCTGCAAAAACTTAACTACTATTAGCTTACTGTTGATTGGAAGCTTTATTGGTAACAAAAACAGTTGATAAACACATATTGTATGTTATATGTATTACATATTTTTTCTTACAATAAAGTAAACTAGAAAAAAGAAAATGAAAATGTTATTAAGAAAATCATAAGGAAGAGAAAGTACATTTACAGTACTGTACTGTATTTATAAAAACAAAATCCATGTATAAGTGGACCTGCAGAGTTCAAACCCATGTTTTTCGAGGGTCAGCTGTATAGTGTATAAACCCCCCACACACACACAAACATACATATGATAAAATACCTCATGAGTACATATTAATACTTTCAATTCACATTCAAGATTAAAGAGCTTTTACTCAATCTCTTGTCTAGCCCCTTTTTTTCTATACCGAGAATCCTGATTTTCAAGGACATGGGTGATAATAAAATTAGAATCCTCCATAATTACTCATTTCTTCTATCTCATCCACAAAGCACTTTCAGAATAACAATATTCATACTAACACCAATATGATTACTGAAAACATTAAGAAGGTATTTTACAAATGTATTTCCCATTCTCTACCTCATTAAAAAACATTATAATAGGGACGTCTGGGTACCTCAGTGGTTGAGCATCTGCCTTTGGCTCAGGGCATGATCCTGGGGTCCTGGGATTGAGTCCTGCACTGTGTTCCCCACAGGGAGTCTGCTTCTCCCTCTGCCTATGTCTCTGCCTCTCTGTGTGTGTGTCTCTCATGAATAAATAAATAAAATCTTAAAAAAAAAACAACCTTGTAGTAAATCTACATTGTTGGGGAATATAATCATTATATATCTTTCCTTCTTAGCCTTATTATATAGTTTTAGTTCTATAAGTAATCTTTTTTCTTTTTAAAGATTTTATTCATTTATTCATGAGAGACACACAGAGAGGGGCAGAGACTTAGGCATAAGGAGAAGCAAGCTTCGTGCAGGGAGCCTGATGTGGGACCTGATCCTGGCACCCCAGGATCATACCAGGATCAAGCTGAAGCCAGACGCTCAACCACTGAGCTACCCAGGCATCCCAGTTCTACAGGTAATCCTATAATTAATATTAATCTCTAGTCTTTACGTCATTCTACTCAGTTATCTGAAGCTGATTTTCTAATAGATTCCCCAGGAAGGGCACTTGGCAACAGTGTTCTCTGAGATCTTGCATGTTGATAAGTTTATGCCCTTTATACTTACAAAGTCTGTTTTGCTAAGGTTCACACTTTCCTTTCTTGGGTCTCTTAAATGTTACTTTATTTTCTTCTGGCATAAAGTGGTACTGTTAAAGTCTCATGATGATTTAAATTTCCTGTGATGTATATGTGTGTGTGCTTAGATGCCCGAAGGATTTTTTTCATTTTCTTTAAAGTTCAGTCATTACAGAAGTACCTGGCTGGCTAAGTCAGAGGACCCTATGACTCTTGATCTCAGGGTTCTAAGTTCAAGCCCCATGTTGAATGTAGAGGTTACCTAAAAATAAAGTCCTTAACATAAAATAAATGTCATCATTTTATTAGAATGTCTTAGTGTTGGTCATTTTGGGACCATATTCTCAATTTTGCAGTATGTTCTTTAAATACATAGTTTCGAGTTTTCTTTATTTCAGGAAACTTTGTTGAATAGTTTTTAGTATTCTGTTCTTTTGCTCTGGTTTTCTTCTGGGACTCATCTATCCAATTTTTAAAATCTTTTTCCCTATTTTCATTATTTATCAATGTCTGACTCTTTATCTCTTCATATTTTTAAAATTTTTAAACATTTCCTCTTTTCCACCTTTCTAAGGCATCATCTATTGTGTTCACTGTTCTTGTGTACTTTCTAGTTTAGTCTTCATGTCTAAAATGATTTTTTCTTTTATTTCTCATTCCACCCTGAGTTCCGCTGCATCATATCTGAGTTTTTCTAATTCTTTTTTTTAAGATTTTATTTATTTATTCATAATAAATGAGAGAGAGTGAGTCAGAGACATAGGCAGATGGAAAAGCAGGCTCCCCACAAGGAGCCCAATGTGGGACTCGATCCAGCATCCTGGGATCATGCCCTGGGCCAAAGGCAGATACATGCTCAACCGCTGAGCCACCCAGGTGTCCCGAATTTTTCTAATTCTGATTTATGTTGCCCTATCATGATCATATCATGTTCTCGGTGTCTTTTGGCTTGTTTTGAAATAGTAGTTAGCAGCTTTGGTCTGTTTTGTGGCATACCTTTCTGGTGTGCTTCATTATCCATAGTCATGTGACTTTTATGGTTCTTTTGTAATAACTTTCTATGGGATTTGACCATGATGCTTTTCTATTGTTGATTTTCTGTGAATGAATGAATGAGATGGGGCTCGGAAAAACATTTATAACATCACAGAGCTCCTTCTTCTGTGACTTTGTCTGGCTTGCTTTCTGGGATATCCTGGCTCTGTTCTCCTCCTCTATGCTGGTAGCCTAGGTCCTTTCCTTCCTCTGAGTTGTCCCCACCCTACTACATTTTGATCCGCTCCAGGCAACTTCTCCTCAGTATGAAGCACGGTACTAGAAGGAAGCCGTGGTGGGTCAGTTTGACAATTCATAGGAGCCAGACCTGCCCCTGCCCCTTAGACCTCCTCACTGCAGGCCCTTGGCGCTCACTTGCTATTTTATTTTATTTATTTATTTTTTTCACTTGCTATTTTAGATGGCAGATCCCTCCGAGTTTCATTTACTGCTCTCAATTGGCCTGTCTTGCTTATCTGTACTTTTTTTTTTTTTAATTTTCCTGTTCTCATTCTGTCAGAGGCCATCCCTTGGTTTCCTTCTTTCTCCTGTACAGATGCTGATCTTGCGCAGGTCTGGTGGCTGTTGTTCCTACTTGCTTGTGTTTGGGGGTTGTGGAGATGCCTTTGTCACCAAATTTGTTATATATGTTGTCTGTGGTTTTTTTCTTTTTAATATTACTCACCAGTCACTGAGTAAGTTTTTATGTGGGGATCTGAAGAGATAGGACTATGCTGCCCCCAATGCCATCATCTTGCCAGGATCCTCTCCCATTTATCCTTTGGTGTTTATAAAATCTGTAGTCATATCCTCTCTTTCATTCCTGATATAAATAATTTGTGCTTCTTTATTTTATGTTTCATTGATCTTCCTAGGAGTTTACTCATTTTATTAATATTTTTAAAGAACCAACTTTTGGCTTTGTTAATTTTCTCTATTGTTCATTCTGTACCTCATCAAATTTTAATTTTTATTTCCTCTATTCTATTTTGGGTTTAATTTGCTCATCTTCCTCTAGTTTCTTAGGTGGAAACTTAGATAATGGATTTTTAAGCCTCTATTTTATAATATAAGCTATAAATTTCTCTCTAAGCACTGATTTACCTACATCTCTCACTTTTTCGTTGTTGTTGTTGAGAGAGAGAGTGCGTGGAAGGGGCAAAGCGAGAGAGAGAATCTTAAGCAGGCTCCACACCCAGTACAGAACCCTATTCGAGGCTCAAGCCCACAACCCTCAGATCATGACCTGAGCAGAAGTCAAGAGTCAGATGTTTAACCAACTGAGCTACCCAGGTGCCCCCATCTCATCCATTTTTTATATACTTTATTATTAATATCACTCAGTTGTAAAACTTTTAGGATTTCCTTTGCTATTTCTTCTTTTGGCCATGAGTTAATTAGAAGTATATTGCTTGGGCAGCCCTGGTGGCACAGCGGTTTGGCGCCGGCTGCAGCCTGGCGTGTGATCCTGGAGACCGGGGATCGAGTCCCACATCGGGCTCCCTGCATGGAGCCTGCTTCTCCCTCTCCCTGTGTCTCTGCCTCTCTCCCTCTGTGTCTATGAATAAATAAATAAAATCTTTAAAAAAAAAGAAGTATATTGCTTACCAAGTATTTAGGGCTTTCTAGAAAACTTATTGATTTCTATCAGAAATCCAGAAAATATATTCTGTATAATGTCTATTTTTTAAAATTTATTGAGATTTTTTATGGTCCAGAATATGACCTTTCTAGGTGAATGTTCCATATCCCCTTCAAAAGAATGTGCACTTTGCAATTGTTGTGTATGATGTTATACAAATGTCAATTAGGTCAAAGTGTTTGATAGGGTTGGTTTTTTTTTTAAGGATTTTATTTATTTATTCATAGAGATGCAGAGAGAGAGGCAGAGACAGGCAGAAGGAGAAGCAGGCTGGATGCAGGGAGCCCAACATGGGACTCGATCCCGGGTCTCCAGGATCACACCCTGGGCTGAAGGTGGCACTAAACCGCTGAGCCACGCGGGCTGCCTGATAGGGTTGCTTTAGTATATCCTTGCTGAATTTTTATCTGTTTGTTCTATCAACAGATGAGACAAATAGAAAACAAATAGCAAATGGCAGTCTTAAGTCCAAATGTATCAACAATTACACTAATTGTAAGTGGACTGGGACACCTGGGGGGCTCAGTCAATGAAGCATCTGACTCTTGATTTCAGGTCAGGTCATGATTTCAGGGTCCTGGGATGAGCCCCATGTTGGGCTCCATTCTCAACGAGGAGTCAACTTCTTCATCTCCCTCTGCCGCTCCCCCCACCTATGTGCACCCCCCTCAAATAAATAAATAAATTTTTGTAAATAAATAAATGTAAGGGGATTAAGCATTGCAATTAAAACATAGACTATAGCCTGAATAAAAAAGCAAGATCCAATTATATGCTGTCTATAAAAGATGCATTTTATTTATTTATTTTTTAAAGATTTTATTTATTTATTCATGAGAGACACACAGGGAGAGACAGGCAGAGACACAGGCAGAGGGAGAAACAGGCTCCATTCAGGAAGCCTGACATGGGACTCGATTCCAGGTCTCCAGGATCACACCCTGGGGTGAAGGCAGTGCTAAGCTGCTGAGCCACCTGGGCTGCCCTTATTTTTTTTTTAAAGGTTTTTTTAATTTGAGAGAGAGCAAGAAAGCTTGTGCATGCATGCAGGGGGATGGGCAGAGGGAGAAGGAGAGAAGCAGACTCCCTGCTAAGCCTGGAGCCAAATTTGGGGCTCCATCCCACAACCCTGAGATCATGACCTGAGCTGAAATCAAGAGTTGGTCACTTAACTGAGCCACACAGATGCCCCAAGAAATGCATTTTATTTTATTATATTTTAAGAAATTTTTATTGGGATCTCTGTGTGGCTCAGCAGTTTGGCACTTGCCTTCAGCCCAGCGCGTGATCTGGAGACCCGGGATGGAGTCCCACATCGGGCTCCTTGCATGGAGCCTGCTTCCCCCTCTGCCTGTGTCTCTGCCTCTGTGTGTGTGTGTGTGTGTCTCTCATGGATAAATAAATAAAAATCTTTAAAAAAAATAAGACAAGGAGAATTGCCAGAGAAAAAGAGAGATCTT